AGTTGCCACGAGGTACCTGTCTCTTCACCCTCTAGCGTCCGACTCCACTTTTCTGGTAACTCCGACTATCCTGGCCGGGGTAAGGATCATAGAGCTGCCTGGGTCGTTGGGTTTGATCAGGGCGGGGTAAAATCTCCGGGTGGGAGGCAGGAATAATAGAATTGACAAACCTACCCATCATAGACGCCATATTATGCATCTGTGTCAAAAGATTACTCTGGACACTCACCAATTGGTCGATTCGGGGGTCAGTGCCTGCCTGCTGTCGTCCGGAATTGGCCCCTATAAGTGGCAGCCGACTGTTCTGTCCACCAGCACTGCGGCTCGCCTCTGCCCCCTGCTCTGGTAAATTTTCGGCCATTCTCGCGAAATGCAGCCTCTTTCTGTTTCTGGCCCGTGACGTCTTGTTGACTTGCTCTAGGGCTTGGGCCCGAGCAACGGCCTGAGCGAGGCTCTCCAAGTCTTGCCGCAGGAGCTGGTCTTGGAGCTCCACATCAAACAGCTCGTCGATGAACTGCTCACGGTTCATGTCATCTCTAGCTTGGGCTCCAATGTTCACATTGGCTAGATCCCCAAGGGAACGGACTCGTCTGGAGAACTCCCTAAGACCCTCCTTTTCGCCTTGCATCAAACTTTTTCAACCAATTCCTGAACTCTGTGAACTTCAGCTCTCAAGTTCAACTCAACCTCCAATCCATGCTATGTTTACTCAGTAATCCTCCAAAGGTCTTTATTTCAATTATCCCGTTAACGTTCCGACCTCCCAAGGGTAGTGGGAGACCCTTTTTATGGGTAGCTAATTCATTTCAGGCATCTAATTTTTCTATCTGTACTCTATTCCAATCCCGACCTTCTAGCTATCAGGGGAACGTAGTTCGTCTATCAGGGGTCAAATTAAACCAAAAATTCATCTCCGGAAAGCTAAGTAAATTCCCCGTCCATTCATAATATTTAGGAAACTTAACTCTCATGCCGCGGTCCTATTACTATTAGATTACTCTGGGACTACTTTTCTTTAGTCTAGTTGAACTGCTATTAATAGATCCTTCGTCGAGCTAAATTGAACCCAATGTTTACCAAGTCCACTTTAAATTAAATCCTCTACTCCAATGTTGTAAAGTAAAAGCTATATCTCTATCAGCTTCTGCTCATTTCCCAATATATTTAAGTTTCCTCCCAAATTTTAGCAAGGTGACCAATTTTCGTTTCCAGGGGTTGGGTTGGTGAATACGCCACTTTCCGGTTTAAATATTGGGGCTTTCCCTGCAATTTTGGGGTCAAAAAGTCCAAACGTCAACTTAAGGTCACCCAGCGGTCGACCGGGGTCAAACTTCCATATTTGGGTTCAGAATCTCATGGGGGTCCTAACTACCAAGTTTCATCCATATCCCGTTAATACTTCCCAAGTTATCCCATTTCTAAGGTCCATTGTCACTTTTCCCGGGAAAAAGCTATTAACACCGGAAGGAGTCACTGGAGGGGTTTCAATCACGAGGGGTCTTTTTTCGGGGTCGTATCTTATGTCCATTGCCGCAAAAAAATTGGTATGCCCTGGCTCAATATTTTGCGTGAATTGCCTATTTCCGGTCCAAATTGCCTATTTTCCAAGTGCTAATACCTTCCGGTCCAACCGCCGGATTTGGTTCAAATTATAATACAAGATGTATCTTGCCACTACCTATCATTCCTTCAAGTTTCAGCTCCCTGCAATCATTGGAGGCCGAGAAACGACTTCCGGAAGTTAGGGGTGGGTTTGTTTACTTAGGCCATAAAACCGGAAGTGGTGGTCTGAGGGGTCTGGGTTTCCAAACTTAAGCTCCCCTTAACTAGGCCTATAAGATACTATATTTTGGTTCCATTCCGACCGCTATCTACCGAGTTCTGATAGGGCAATTTACACTTCCGGGGACCGTTATCACTTGGCGCCGGGGGGTCCGGGTGTTATGGATTTTTGCATGCCCGGGTCAAATCATCTCTAGTATCCGTCCTATGAGTTTCATAAACCTAGCCACTGATGTTCCCATTTGGGGGGGGGGGGATCCGCCGATTTTACTTCACATGAGTTTTCTGCCATTAGAGGGACTATATCTTCGAAGATTCAACTGTTTCGAACTTTACCCTTTGGTTGCTGTACTACTTAACTTAAAAACGGATCAATCTTACGCTCAACTTTCTATAGCATGTAATACATTAGAATCACCAATCAAGTTTTTTTAGCTTAAGATGTTTGTTATTTCAATTTTAGGAAATTATTAACGTTTTTTTGCATTTTTATTATGAAGTTTCCTCCAGAAAAAAAAGATAACTTTTAGTTTGGAAGTGGCTAAACTATGTTGAAGTAATTGATGAGTCAATCAAAAATTTTCAACAAGAGTTCTTTTCTCGAAAAAATCAATAAGGATCCTAATATATTTAGAATGCAAATTTTGCATAATTTGCATTCCAAGGCCACAGGACAATAAATTTTTGTTCTCTTGTTAATTTTATTGCGTCGGTTTCCTGTCATCTGATTTCCTTACAAACAGAAACATCTTCATTTACTTACAAACAGAAGCGAGACGTGAAGGATATTTAAAGGGATTGCAAGAAATAACAGCAGTCCGTATAATCCGTCGGATAAAAGATTGCATAAAATTAGAGTATCAGTTGACGTCCTCTTGGCTTTTTTTCTAAGCAAGTGAAAAATCAAGAAATTGCGATAACAAATTATTATTCCAAGTATCAATCTCGTCACAGGTAAGCAGAATGCAAGTGTAAATCCAATGCCAACTTGTTCCAATTCAGTCATTTTGACAACCATCGATAACCCAGAAAATCTTAATTCAAAGTTTCTCAAATGAAGCAAAATTGAGCAAAAACTTGTAAGCAAAAGTAGAACAGACAATAATCAAATGAACTTAATCTCTAAGATTATTTATGCAACAACTACATTTAATGTATGCAGTTCATACAAGCACTGAGATCTCAGAATTTACATGCCAAACAGAGTAAATCATGATTATCGGACACATAAAAGAATCCAAAGTCCAGTATTTGTTATTTTTCTTCGTACTTTGGCTATAAGTTATAGAACTTCTGGGCGGGTTTTCTTAATAAAGAGAAAAAACATTCGGATAAACAACGACCTGGTTTTATTAACTGCTATTCGTGCATGCTAAAAACAGTTTCAAAAAACAATTTTAAAAGTAACTTTTTCCAAACGAGGGTAAAATTGAGCAAAAACTCAAGCATACACACGCAGTTCTTCTTCGTTTTTTTTTACTGAATCAAAAGCTAACTTTTATGCAGATTTTGGGTTTTTCTTTTCTCCTTATTGGGCTTTCAATTGTGGTGAGAACATTCTGCTCTGCTTGTTGAGTAGTCGGCTGTTTTGATATTGTTTCGTCTGATCGTTTACAATTCTGCTGTTAAGCAGCTTTGCATTTCAAAATTATTTGATCAAATGAGTTGCAATTCTGAGGTGATCATATATCAGATTGGAATTTTTGAAGAATAGGCGGTTCCTTTAAAGTTGTTTCCAATGTTCAGACCTAGTAAACAAACGCAAAACAAACTCATAAAAAATGTGAAAAACTTTTTCAGATTTTAATGATTGATATAACTTTCTAAAATACGTTCAAAATTATTATAAGTGGCGCGTTCTTAAATAAATTTTAGGGCTCAGAGCTGGTTGATTACAATCAATTGTCTAAAGCATTCCATTAAAAATGCTCTTCAGAAAAGGGTAAAAAACCGAATTGTTTCAATTGTCACGTTTTTTATCAAGCCACTGGCAAAAAATTTGATAGAAAACGATTGGGCTGATGAAAACAACAAGACTTCGCGAACAAGCAAAAAATGGCAAACAGGAGCTTCAAAACTTCAGAATTTTGAAAATTATGCAAAAGACTTCTGCAAAAAAGGCTTTCTGTCGCCTAAAAAGTTTTAAGATCTTCTCCAAGTGGTAGCCACCAATATATGGGTAAAAACACATGTTTTCAAAATGACCACGCTGAAAAGTTAAAAAAACTCACGTACTTTACATTTTGTTCACTTTTGCAAGCAAGTCTGTTTGAAATTAATTTCATCATTTAAACCATTAGTGATATCTACTTATTGTTATCTGAAGCACTAAGAGTGCACAACCCAGTTAGACTTCCCAAAAAATGTTGTCACGGAAATCCCGCCAAGATTTTCACATCCCCACACCCTAGTAAGGCCGAATGAAACTTCACGCCAAAGTCTTACAAGGAATTGCATTAAACTCCTGTCCAAGATTTAACTTCTTTTGACCTTAAAAAGCAACTTCTTTGATTATTTTTTTCTTTATTCTGTACAAAAACATTTCATCTGTATAGGGGAAGTCATCACAAAAACATCGACTCGGATAAATTGCCCTGTTTTTTTTTCAAGAGGATTATCAACGAATACTCAAACAGCTTGAAAAGTTTCTTTTTTGGTTGAAAAGAAAATTTCGCAATTTAAAGTTTCCTATTCTTTTTTGCACATTCAAAAGCTAAGATTATATGCTTCAGAACTCGATTATAAAAGTTATTCACTTTTTGTATAATGCTTTTTAAATGGATTTATGGGTTTCATTTTTTTTTCACCCGTTTGTTTTTTTGAACTCAGGCAATCCTCATCTGAATCATTGTTCCCACCCTCAAGAAAACAAGAAATCAATCGTGTTTGAAGTGGTTAATCGCTTTCTGAAACATTATGATGCCTTGAGCACAATTTCTAAAAAAATATATATTTATTTCACCTATGATCGATCAATATTCGCTAAAATATGATGGTTTGAATGTGACTAAAATGGTATAAATATTTCTCTATAAATCATTTTTTTCATATGCGTGGCCTTAATTTAATTGAACTGTCTCTTATATATATGGACATTCGACTGTGGGCATTTTCTTGGGCTGATGTAATATTTCTACAACTTGGATTTTTTCTTGAACTGGTAAGTAATTGTTAATTTGCTTCGAACCTTGAGTGAAACTGTACTTCACCAATATTGATTTTGAAAAGAGAAAGAAATACTTAAATTGATATTAGGAAATAAATATCATGAGGCGATGAGAGGCGATAAGAAGAAACGACATCTATTTTCTCAACTACCACTACTAACTTTACACCAACTAAAGCACAGGCTGAGACAGGAACAAATAGAGTTTCTATTCTATCATCACATCATAATATCCCTGGCAATGAGTTCTATCAATTACGATTGCATAACAGTAGCTAATATCAGTATCAATTCATTTGTATTCGTCATTTAAAACATGGCAAAGGTTAGTCTACAAGGGTGAAGAGCATTAAAAAGTGAGAAGATACTATACAATTAGTGTACAATTTACAAACGAGTGAGAATATGGTCAGAGAAAGAAATAAAGAGAAACTACAAAGAGAAAACAGGAAGACATTAGCTAGTATATTGAATGGTGGGGCTTCTTTTCCTCGAATCGTTTTTTTTGGTAAACTGGATTTCTGTTCACGTGGTTACAAATTTCGAGTTCAACCGTCAATGTGTTATATCACTTATAATAACTCTCAATAACCGAGGTTGTAAACCGAAGTTCTAATCACCAAAACGAAAGAGGAAAAAAGCCGATGATGCTATAAACCCCTAAGCACTACAGAATGAACAGAATCTAGCTTCAGCTATGGTCATTTAATTTTATTCCCACACAATTAAGTCATTCAAATTCAAACTAATTGCGCATTATTTTAAGGTTCTGCTAAGCAGAGAAATAACGAAGAGAAGTTTAAAACCGACTATCTATTTAACATCACTCAAAAATAAGCCACGAAATGTACACACAATTACTAATGTGCTACAAGCGCCAATTTCTTTTTAATAGGTTTCAGCCTGATTAGTTTTTCATCATGTCAATAAAAAAACAAAAATGAGTCGTATTATTGAAATTTTTCGACTGTCTGAACCTCGTCATTATTGTTCGTTTGAGCCATTTTTTAAAATAAAAACTCAAAACTTGTGTATTGGCGCTTCTGCTTAAAAGTGTCTCACAAAGGCCAGCAAACATGCAGTGAGCGTCATCCAAATCAGCTTCATTACCAAATTTCTGTACTTTTTCGAGTTTTGGAATTTGCGATCTCTCCTTTCCTTCCCGTTCTGTACAACTGCTCTGTGGTTCTGGTTTAATTTTGTTTCGAGGTCGTTTTCAGCTTGACTCCCTGGCGTATGAGGTGCTGCACTGTGACTCTCGCATGCAACTCTGTCTGGTCTGTGAGTCCTGAGATGGTACTCAGTTGTATGGACATCAGTTTCAGATGTGTGAAGGAACTGTCATGGCCAAACTTCTCGGCAACTAACGCATCTTTGTAAAACAGTTCGAAGTCCTTCACGGCCAGTCCTAAAACAACCAATCTCTTGCAAAAAAATGCCAAAAATGTACTTAACACTGCAAAATTTGATAGAAAAGTAAATAATTTTTCACTATTCACACAGAACGAATAAAGTTAGTACATTTAAAATAGTTTCTATGCAAAAGAATCTTCTATTCTAAAATGGCCTCAGGGAAAAAAAATCATCTGTTATAGTCGAAAATATTGAATTAACCTCTGATCGGTCGCAATTTCAGGGAGAGGTCCCGACGCCTGCACCCAATTCTATTTTGTCGCTCTTAATTAACGAAGGGTCACCTTAAAACTAGTTCACATCAGTTTTTGGTCGACCAATCCTCAAACTATTTTCAGGCTCCAGTGTACAGTAAATAAGGGCTTGTCGTAAAAAATACATCTTCTGGCCAAAAGCTTCAAAAAATTGAACGCTACATTAGAGACTTTTATCTTTTCGTAGAACATTGAGACCCAAAAGAAGATTTCGAAAACCCACTTCCTCCCCTCGCAAAAATCTTATAACCCCTAGAGTCAAATGGCCATGTTTTGCACTAAAACATATCAGATGAAAACGAATTCAAGAAACGCGTTAAACGAAGATTTTTTTTCAAAAATGCACTTCATATTAGCCCATGCTTCTATCGAAAACAGTTCAGAGACCATAATACGTTCCAAGCAGCCGTGGCCAAGTGGGTTAGACACACGTATCTCAATACGAGTGTCATGCGTTTGAATCTGACTTCGGTTACGGTTGGACGGGTCCGAGCGTCATCCGCCTCCTCAAGGTGGGACCGACTGCGGTGAAATGGATGACACCACCCTCCCCCACGGTTGGTCCCGCACTGAACAGGACCGGAGGCTAATAAAAAAGAGCACATTATAATAGTGGCTGACCCACCTATGATTTCGGACACTTGTGTCTTCAGCTGCAAAACAGTCATGGATGGCTTCACTTTGATCTCCCGTGGAAAAATGTCCATGTCAGAGCAGTGAAACATCAGAGTGATCTGCTCGACAGGAGACAAGTCCACCTCTACCAGTTTTCCCAGCTGTCCGTACTTGTTCACCAGGTCATGGTATCTAAACGACAACAATTTATTTGTTTAATAAACACAAAGGCGATACGGAGCTTCGCACCACTTGCGATACAGCACAATAATAAAACCACAAGTAAAAAAAGTTTAAAAAAAACTAGGTGAACCAAAACTTTCGTAGGTCTCGATGACGGACACCTAGATCCCAATTAAAGCTAGAGGTACGTGTTTGATAATTGTTGAAATTGCTATACTGATGCAGGACGAAATGCGTGGTTTCAAAAATTGGACTTTGCCCAAAACCTTAATTGTTTGTCTTAAGTAGAACAAAAGTTTTTAAGTTTTTGGAACTTTCCAAAAAAAACTATTATTTATCTAACAAAAATTATGAAAATCCCTTTTTTGAAAATCGGTAGAGTTTTTGCAAAAAAAAACGATAATATTTTCCAAAACCCAACCCCATACATTTACATAAAGCCTATTTTATCAAACAGGATTTCACGGCAAGCATGCCAAGCAAGAAATTTTAAATTTAAATCAGCAATTGAACAAAACTTACGAAGCGGAAACAAGGCCGACATCTTTGAGCAGACACCAGTTGAGCCGAAATAAAAACAATTTTGTAAAACACTTTTAAAAGTTTCAAATCCACTCTGAAACTACCCTGTAGTAACTAGTTCCCACACAGTAGTTAAACTTGAATTTTTATGAAATTGTCCATGTCAGCTGGTTTCGTTAAACTATTTGTTATTTAGAAAGAAGTCTTCATTCCGATTTGATAACCCATGCAAATTGCAAGCGTAACAATTAATCTGTTCACTAATTCACTCGTGAGAAAAACCAACTCATTCATGACTGCTTTTTTTGAGTTAATTTCAGTTCGCTTACACTTATGTTTAATCAAGTTCAAACATTATTCGGGTTCAAAAACGTTGACTTCGTTGGGAAATCCAATTGATAACTTTCTGCTCGGTAATACAGTATACTAGTCTGCAAAGCAATGTAAGTACATTCTTGATAAAACCAACTGATTCAAAACACGTTAATTGACAAATTTAACTATTTCGATAGAGCTCGATTGATTCTTCGATTGTTTTAATTAAGAATGCTGTTTAGTATGGATTCGATAGTGTGGTAAATGTATTCCCAGAATAAAAAAAATAAGAAATTGGTGTGGCTACTCGATTTATGATGTTACATTCTGCAAAAAAGCAAAAAAAAACTGGCAGACAGGTTAGCGAATTCCTCTACAGCGTAAAAACATGGAAATGAAGACCATGGAGTAACAAAACAAATCATAGAAAAGAAGAGAAATCATTCCTTCTTCATTAACCGTTATTCTTCGTTGCGATATGACAAATGTCCGTCATGAGAGTCTGAAGATGTGTTATGATATTGAGGTTTATTCAAAATCAAGAGAAAAAGTTTTGTAGTCAAACCTGGAATAACCAACATAAACAATGTTTTTTACTTCCAACTTCAGTCGAATTTCGAATTGAATGAAATTGAACATAGCCAACTGAGAGTTGGAAAAGACTTCATTTTTGAAAAAAAAATTCAACTTTCGAATTTTAACACAGAGACGAAGCTGAGCTTCGCAAACACAATCGAGGAAAATGCAAAAAGAGCTCTGAATAGGCAAAACAAAATGAAATCAGAAAAAAGGAAAAGAATAAAAGTACAGCTTGGGAAAAATTTTGGCTAAGATGAGGAGTAACACGTTCTCATATCTGCTCCACAACCACTAGTAATTTTACTTACACTATCCACCAATAAAGCAGTTGCGGTTTCTTAACAAATTGCCAATGCTACGCAGCAAAGATTCGATCAAAAAAACCTATTTCAATGTTCCGGATTCGAATCTCCTACCTGTTGATTAGGAGTTTCACGTCCTCACATTTGCGCCACGGTCGCTTGGAGGTAAACTAGTGGCCCAGCTAATGCTGGATGCACCTGTTTCAAAATTTTAACCTTTGATTGTACTGATACCGAAATGCATTAATTTCAAAGTTTCAAAAAAAAGATTTAACGCAAAACCCTAGTGGTTTCCCTAATTAAGTAGGATATTAGCCGTTTATTTAAAGGAGAAAACTACTTTTCACTCTTTCAACTGAATTCTTTTCAACAAAGCATGGGAACAAATAGCATCTTATGCAGAGAAGAATTTCACGCCCGAATTTTAGATTGAACCCTTAATATCAGATTTAGCAAGAAATTTTCATGAAAAAAAATTGAAATTTCTACAAAAAAAACAAAGATCCATGATACCTTGAAGCTGAAGTGCTATTTGTAACTTAATTGTCTGTAATAATATCCTTAGCATTTGCTGTACTTAATAGATGGTTATCGATCTTATGCACATACTGCAATAATAAAAAATAGATTTCATACTATCACACAAGCTTCACTTGTGACATTGTGCACTTCAAAACTGGACTTGCTTATGGACCTGTCTCTGAATTCCACAGAACTACACAGACCAAATTATGCGACTACCCAGTGCGCAGTTTGGCTTCGTAATGTATCGATAAAAAGCGCAACAAACTGGTATAGGACATTGTGTTTAGATGCAGCGCGCACTGACCTCTGTGGTTTGGCAGTGTGATCTGTGTCGAGGTAGTGTCTGATTAGATATCTCTCTGCATCCACTCTGTTGTCAGATGTCACCAAACTTCCATTCAGAGTAGTCACATGCTTCAGCCTACATTCAAAAAGGAAAGCTTATTTCAAATCAAACATTTGTGAACAAAACGAATTCAAATCAGTTAAGCCATATTTGTAAACAGAAAGGGTCTTCTCTTCTTATCAAGGTGAAGATTTGAACAACCTTACCCTATATTTCAAACATTATTTTAAAGAAATTTCGCAGAAGTCACGAGCAAGAATAGACTTCTGGCAGCGCGAACTCTTCTTTCAAAAAAAAGCATATATTTGCAAAAAAAGTCGTTTTTAAACAATTTAGTGTCGATCGGTCCAAATGGGATGTCGAAAACTAAAACTAGTGCTACAATTACATCAAAATTTTTATCCTTATCTTAAGCTGTAGCAGAGCAAACAAAAAATAATTTTTTCATTTACTCATCTGTTGATCACAACAAATTTCAATTTATCTGTTTCATGACTGACTTCTAGTCATTTCTGTAAGGCAACTTTAATTAATTTTATTATAGGTTCAGTAAACCGAAGTTTCAATTATGAAACCCAAGAACAATTGAGGAACAAGAAAAACATTCCCCTCCCCTCAACAACCTAATGAATGAGATAGTGATTCTAGTAGTGCCTGGAACAATGCGTTGCATTTGTTCACAAATGATCTTCTTAAGAGTGGGCGGGAAAAGATTGACCATGAGATTGAGAATTGACTGACCTGGCAATACATAGTAGTCTCCTTATGGCTGGATCTGGTGCAGAGTCATCATAGTATGGTATGTTGTACATTCTGAGAGAAGTGAGAGCAGGCAGATCATTCAGTCTGTCCAGACACTCCCAACTGTTCATCCTGTTGCCTGCAATGTGCAGACTCTCCAAGTCAGGAAAGATTCCTTCCAGTGATATGTCTATATGAGTCAGATGGTTATGCGCCAGAAACAGGTACCTGAACACTTTCATTATTGCCCACAAATAGAGCACAAATTAACACCGGCAAAGCTAAATTTCACACAAGTTTGCTACAGTCATACTTGCCCAATCATAATGCTTATAGTAACACTTTTTTTCAATGCAGAAACAAACTTTATAAAATTCCGAACTATTTGCTTTTAAATTTTGCTTTATTTGTAATAAACATTATAAAACACATTTTAATTATAGTATCCGATGATGTATCACTGAAATCAAGTCAAATGCTTTCATACGACAATATTTTCTACAAATGTCTAACCTTCTAATCAAATTTAAACTCTTTCATTTAACGCCTAAGTCTCAATAAAAATATCCTCAGATAAATAGACTGGTAGATAGACAGCGTTTTAAGGTTAAGTGACACATGGCTAATATTCTTCACATATCTCTGATACATATAACCCCAAAAAATAACATTTTAAGAATTTCCGCTCTGATAGGGTCACGGACAACCCAAACAAAACAGAAATAGTGTAGGATTTTTTTTATTGGTGCCAAAAAAGTCAAAGCATAGTTAAGACCTGATTCTCGTATTGAAAATTTGTGGATCGAAATTCATTTAACCGAAGACAAACAAAAATATTGAACTTACCTTATTGTCCTCAGAAAAAAGTATAGATACTGACTTTCTTGAACAGCTTGCAAAAGCTTCTGATGAAGCAGCCATAGGCAATTACAAGTTAGTGGGTGACTATATTTTAAATTATCTGAAAAGAGATCAAAAACAAAGAATGGATACGATACTATGTGCTTATGGTCTATCAATAGGTTACAGTATGACAACTGCAAAAACTATTGGTAAATCACTCATTGATAATATAATTTATGATAACAGTTTAAAAAAACATTCGATATTTTCGTGTTTGACTGTCCTTTAAAAATGATCAACTTGCTTGACAACGATTATGCAATTCAGCTTAAACAAAAATTATGCTGTGACAAATAAATACATTTTCGAAAAAAAAAACTATTCAGCTAATACATTCAGAAAATTAGTGAAAACATTATATTGGTCAAAAACTTATACGCAAGCTGATGCTGACAGTATGTTGACTGTTTTTGAAAAATCAATCATACTTGTTGTTACAATCAATGTTGCCCAATCATAATGCTTATATAAATACTTTGTCTCAATGCAGAAAGAAACTTTATAAAATTCCGAACTATTTTATTTAAAATGTTTTTCTTTTAATTTATGCCTTAGTTGTAAAAACCATTATAAAACACATTTTAGTTATACTGTCCGGTTATGTATCACTAAAACCGAGTCCAATGCTATCATGCGAAAATATTTTCTCTAAATGTCCAACTTTTCAATCAAATTAATAACTCTTTCATTTAAATAGCCAAAGTCTCAATAAAATCATCTTCAGATACATAGACGGGTAAATAAAAGACGGGTTTCAAGGTTTAGTGACACATGGTTAACATCTTCAGGCCACTCTGACACATGTTAAATAACATTTAAGAACTAGTGAAAAGGGCTCAGACAACCCAAACAAAACAGAAAAAGTTTAGGGCTGTTTTATTAGTGCCAAAAAATGAAAACACGGTTCAGGCTGTAAAAAAAGTTCAGGGCTGTTCTATTAGTGCCAAAAAAGTGAAAAGACGGTTCAGGTAAAAGTTTTGATAGGTGACTATAATTTAAATTATCTGAGATCAAAAACTATGAATGGGTACGATACAATGTGCTTATGGTCTATCAAAAGGTAACATTATTACAGCTGCAAGAACTATCGGTAAATCAGTCATTGATAAAATAATTTATAAAAACAGTTTAAAAAAACATTCGATATTTTCGTGTTTGACTGTCCTATAAAAACTGACTACCTTACTTAATTAACAATTATGCAGTTCACCTTAAACAAAAATTATCCTGTAAAAAATAAACACACTTTCGATTTAAAAAAGAACTATTCAGCTATTGCATGCAGAAAATCAGTGAAAACATCAGATTGGTCAAAATTTTATACGCAAGATGATGCTGACACTATGTTCACTGTTTTTGAAAAACCTTTGTTTTTCCTGTTTTCCATGGAGTTATTTCAATACATGCTCCGATCAAAAAAGTGTTCAAAAGAAACGAAAAACCGGTCATTTCACAAGCTGAACAGTATGCATTAAAAATCACACGCAGTTTGAAGATCAAAAACTCTTAATGATACAATTTTCGAAAAACTCGCGGAATTAAAATTTCTCATGTCCATGGAGTACGCAAAAAGGTATGATAAGTTTTACAAATAACTTGCTGAAACAACGTCTTCAGAAAGATTGCAAAGGATCCCTATAAACGAAGCGAGAATCAGCAAAAAAAACGCTTGATTTTCTTTCGACAAAAAGTCTTTTGACGATGTTTTAACGGATAGAAAACAAAATCAATTTCGTAAAATCCAAATTCAGTAAAATAATTGATTTTTTTGTTTGACACTATATCTTCTATTTATTGTAAGCCCAAAACATCATCAGCAGGGTGGATCACTCTTTTAGGTTTGTTACCAGACAAGAAACACTAAAACTTGTTCTTGCTTTGAAAAAAGCCTTGGATTTTCTATAAAATCAGCTTGGGCCTTACATGACACAGCGATTGAAATAGTATTTCCAATAACACAATTAGTTTATGATTACCTCGCTCTCAAAATTTTTCCAGATAGCCTTCAAATAATTAAAATTGATAAGAAAAATCAAAGCCTTAATATAAAAAAACTCTATCGAAGACGATTACTGTCATCGTAATTCTGTCAAAGGGGGGAATAGTTCACAAGATCCTTTATTTTTTCTTGACACCGCGCAAATTAAAGGTAAACTGATTTAAATTTTGCGTTTGCTTGTTGAATTACCTGAGATGTGGGAATAGTTGTGCTAGCTTTCTGAAGTCAGTCCAGTGTTTTAGTTGGTTGTCTGTGAAGTAGAGAGTGTGCACGTTCACATGGGGCTGAGCTGTCTCCATCACTCTGTCTTCTATCTCTTCATACCCATTCAAACTCAAGTGCAACTCTTGCAAACTGAAAGGGGCAAAAAAGAACAGTTCATTTAGCTCATCATACACAAATTGGCTCATCCCTAGAGTTGATCTACCCCCCCCCCCCCCACACACACACACACACACACACACACACACACACACGCACGCGCGTCTTGCTTGCATACAAGATTTCGGACGTTTTTCGCAATGGAACATTGGACCGGCGGCAATTCATAGTCACTTGAAACGTCGAATATGATCCCATGTAAAAACAGAGCAGGTGTTCGAAATTAACCAACTTTTGGTTTCTTGACTTTTCGGCTGAGATTCGTTTCAATCACCTGTTTTCCGATCATCATGGTCTTAACAACTAGTTTGAACAAGACCACAAACTAAACGTGCAGCGTCAGACCCAGAATCTTAATTGATTAAAAACCAAGGTATCAAATGCTTTAGTGATTATATTAGACAAGTTTTCATCTGCAAAAAATTAATATTTGATTTGATAACGCTTGCTTATCGCAAGCATAATAACAGTAAGCCAACTACTAAAAAAGCAGACAAATCATTAAATCGAGAAATTTTACATGCAAGCCGCGAGCGATTCGAGCAAACTTTTGAGAATGAAATAAAACTGTCTGCTTCCTCGCCGCGTACCAGCTAGTCTAAATTTAGTGCAAAGCTAGTGCAAAATTTTTCATTTGCCGGTTTCTTAAACTAAGCTGGGGCAGATCAGAATACAATATAGCCCGAGCTGAATTTCAAAAGGCTGACGGAAGCAGATGAGTGAACTTACGAGGGTAATTTGGGTAGTAGGTTAACAATAGTCTGCATGGTAGTGCCTGTGTTGATTAGCACCAGTGTCTTCAGATTGGGGTGGACTGTGAAGGAGTCCCACCCTCCTCTTCCGTTCAGATGGGAAGATGACATCGGAATGGAGGCAGACGCTTGCACCACTTGCTCCTCCCCTGATGCAGTCTCTCCATTATTACTCGCATTTGTACTGTTGCAATTGACTAAAAAACAAAATCAGAACACTAAGTTATGCTTTTCAAATTAAACACAGAGGCGAAGCAAAGCTTCGCACTACTTGAGATACATTCTGAAAATTCGAAACTGCCGAAAAGCTAGATGTATCAAAATGAATATAACTTATTTTGAAAAAAAACATACCCATGCAATAGAATGTGAAATTAGCATCGGAAAAAACTTACCAAGTGGTAAAAAAATAAGTCGAAAATATCTTCGCAGAAACTGTTTAAGTCGAAAAAACTCTTAAGACAAAAAAGTAATAAAAATTTGAAGTCCCTTCCCCCTCAAAACACACACACTCACACAAAAACTGTCTTCAGCCATCGAACAATATGAGGGCACTGTAATATAGGTCGAAACCCATAAACCCAAACTAAGGAAAAGCAGAACAAAAAGAAGCAAAAAATGTTATTTCAACAAATAGCGGTGGTAAAACTACATCCAACATATAGGCAAACTTCGAATAAGACGGATATTTAAAATTCTAACTTGTTCAAAATGTCTGTTGAGGTATTTCAACCGGGAATTGAATCCAGGAGTCTCAATTCCGCGCCACGGGCTCTCGAAAAGCTCTTAAATTAAGCCTCCAATGAAGCAGCTACAGAAGCTAATAAAGGATCTTTTCCAGTTCCCCCCCCCTTTGTTAAATTACAGAAAGAGATGTTCAAAAATTGTTCACACGGCAATTTTCATGTTAGAAATGTTGTGAAAATTTGTTCAGCTGTTCACGCTGACACGTTTTAATGCAGTTTATAACATTAAAAATTATTTTAAAAAGACTTTCATGTAATGAATTTCAGAAAAAATGAAAGGGGGGGGGGGAACTGGAAAAGAGCCCTAATAAATTGCCAATGCTATGCAGCAAAAACGCCACCAAATGTACACTACAGTAATTTTGCTGGCATTAAATTGGCAACTTTAAAGCCGAATTGGGTATAAACTATGCAATTCAAAAATTTTGGGAATATATTGAACTAAAAAATCGAATGACAAAGCACGTGCTATAAAAATGCCAAAACAGCCTGCTTTAAAAAGGCCACCAAAAGTAGCACTAATATTTGCGAATTAGCTTGGAAAAATACCCTGTAGTAATACATCAGGCTTCGCTTGCGTAAAGATAATTAAACAAGATAGTCTGGCTATTGTTTGGCTAGAGCTCTATGCTATTGGCTACAATATGCTTTTCTCTTTAATTTTCTTGCGGTGTCTGCTTGATTGTGGAGGCAGATGAAACTGGGACCTCTCGGCTCAATTGTAACAGAGACGAACAAAATCGTTTTTCGTGAAAGATTTACTTTGAACCTTTTCCGGCCGTTTTCGAACAAAAATTGTCGAAGAGTTTAGATGAGTTATTTCCTTTTACCATAGATTTTTGCAACCAGACTTGAGGGGTCACAGCTATTTCTATAAGAAACAAAAGCTCAAACCTCAATTGAAGGCCAAACAATGATTTTTGAAGCTGAGCTTTGCATAACATATGATGCAGGGATTAAAGTTTATTAGAAATAAGCCAAGACTTAGTAAACAATTAGGAAACCAAATCTGACAATCTCGCATCTGCATCACTGGCCCTTGAAACCTTGCTAATGGTAAAACTATCCAACAATGATGCAGAAATAGATGCTTATATTGTCAATGCTATGCGGCAAAATTGCCACCAAATATGAAAACCAGGAGTCCCACGCCCTTCCATCTGTTCCACAGTCGCTCAACGATCGACTAACACTCGCCACAAAAAAGCAGAGACCAGTTTCTAAGAAATCTCCAATGTCACCAAATGAGCACTTTTATTTGCGAATCACATTAATAAACTACGCTCGCTAATGTAAACATCGTGGAATTCGCAAAATCAACAAAAAAGGTTTAAAAAAAGATTAGAAAACAGGATTCAAGATATTATGAAACTCAAACCACGCAGAGACAGATTGAGGCCCACATGTCGTAGACGCGAGTAATGAATGTACATAAAAGCACGAAGCTCAAAATTATTGAACAAACTCTTGAAGCAAAAATTCAGCTCAGAAATTGAATGAAATTGCAATTTAAGTGGAAAAATGGCCTCCATTTTCTACGCTTAAGTAGCTTGCTTGTGTAACATACATGCGATATTTCAATTTCGGAACTCGATCAAAATTGAAATTTTCGAATTGTAAAAAAAATATAAGAATTATGAAATGACTCACGCCCCACACGCTAAGAAGAAAAGTGAAATATTTCTTGCCTAGTAACGCATTAGCAAGATCATATATTACCTCAATTCAATTTGGAAGTTTTTCTGAGCCGGATTAATGCCGGAATGAGTAGAGCACGACTGAAAATAAAATAGCTCGAATCCAAGCAGGAGAATGTGGTACTAACGTTGCCAAATATGAAAAAAGTCGATCTCGACTGTTTGAACTTCTTAAACAAACAACCAAAACAATATCATTTTGAAAAAAATTGAGGGATTATCTTTCAACCTTCATTTCTAATTGAGTCTGATCAGAAATTTTTCTCGGATCAAAACAATATCATTTTGAAAAAAAATTGAGGGATTATCTTTCAACCTTCATTTCTAATTGAGTCTGATCAGAAATTTTTCTCGGATCAAAACAATGTCATTTTGAATCAAATTGAGGGATTATCTTTCAACCTTGATTTCTAAATGATTCTGATCAAAAGTTGTTCTCGGTACTAATTCTCGCTTGATGCAAATATTCGCGCTCTACGAATCTTCTAATTTACTATTTTCTACTCTAATTCTATTTTTATTATCTTCTAAATTACTACCATTTGTCGCTTTCGATGCAAGGTCGCCTTGTCATGAAATTGCAACTGCGTAAAAAACACATTGCTAGCGAAATAACAATAGTTTAGCGCCATACAAAACGGGCGAGCCTGCATGTAACCAACCACACGCAAAACATTCACTTAGAGACGCAGCTGAGCATCGCACCAATTGCGATTGAAAACAAAACATAAACAAGACTGCTCGTATCAGGGCGAAGCCCTGAATTTTCCGACTGCCTTTTAAGGTATTATGGAGCAGTAATAACATTAAAAATTATGTATTAAAATAAAATGAAAAAAAAAATTCTAAAATTTGAAATTTTTTATGAAAATCATCCCCCCACACTAAAATAGAAAGAGATAGATTTCGCTCCTTGTAACAAATCAATTATGGCAAATAAACTTCTTTCAACCAATTTGGAACGATTTTAAGACGGATTAACTCTCCGCTTACGCGTTAATAGCGCGAAATATATCGCGCGTTAATTGTCCCAAATGGCAATCTTTAAACCCCCATAACTTTACGAAAAATGATCACAGGTGAAATATCTTTTCAAATTTGAGCTCACGGCAACAATATCTTTTGAATGATATAAATAAACTCCGTCAAAAATGGCTAGTTAAAAAGTCGAAATTTGTCTGAAGAAAAAAAAACCCACCCCGAGCACAAATATTCCGTTACTTTCGTACCGAAAGTCGGAACAACAAGACTGCGCGTATCATGGCAAAGCCCTGAATGTTCCGACTGCCTTTTAAGATTTATGGAGCAGTAATAACATAAAAAATTCAATGAAAAAAAAAACAAAAAAAGGTTTTTTTTCTAAAATGTGAAATTTTTAAATGAAAATCATCCCCCCACACGCCATATAAAGTACAAAAGGATAGATTTCGCTCCTTGTAACAAACCAATTATGGCAATTAAGCTTCTTTCAACCAAGTTGGAACGATTTCTAAGACGGATTAACTCTCCGCTGACGCGTTAATAGCGCGAATTATATCGCGCGTTAATTGTCCCAAATTGGCCAAAATGGCAATCTTTAAACCCCCGTAACTTTACGAAAAAAGATCACAGGTGAAATATCTTTTCAAATTTGATCTCAGGACAACAATACCTTTCGAATGATCTAAAAAAATTCGGTCAAAAATGGCTAGTTAAAAAGTCTGAAATTTGTCTGAAGAAAAAAAAACCACCCCGAGCACAAATATTCCGTTACTTTCGTATCGAAAATCGGAACAAAAACATAAGCCGAAAAAATGGAAAACGTTAAAAAACTAATTCTACTAAAATTATAATTTTGCAGGTCTCAATAGAAGTTATTTCTAGGCTAACAAGCCAGAAATTTAGGTATTAAATAAGCAACGGAACAAAAGAGAAAACATGGCCGACAATCTTTCGAGCAGACAACAAGTTCAGCAAAAAAAAATATGATGTCATAAAAAACCGCTACAGTTTTAAGTCTCACCTGAGACTAGAATCAATAAAACTTGCACTTTCAACTACAAAAACTTGGAAACAAGAAAAGATATATCAAGAAAACAACTACAAGAAAAGAAAAATCAGTGATGTGGCAACTAATCTGATAATCTTTCAGCAGAGACATGTTGAGCCGAAAAAACTGATTTACAAAGCTTAAGAAAATTCATGTCCTCCTCCCTGAACTTACCAAAACAGAACTTGAAAACTGATCAACACCCCAAAACTATTCAAAAATAGCTGGACATAATTTTTTTTTCATTAGCGAACAAAAAATAGAAATTATTTCGCTAGTTTTGTATTTTGTTTAACCTACGCAAAATTGGAGAAACTCAACAAATGCATGAGAAAGCTTAGCAGACAGCAACTCAACTTGATATTGCAAAACGATGAACTCGTCCTGCAATTTTAATTGAAAACGCTAAAAAAATTGAATTTAATAATTTCTGATTTCCCGGCAGTTCAGGCTTGTTTGGTTCTCGTTTTTCAATTGAAATAGCTATTTTTCAAATCAATATGGACTGGAAAGCGATGAACCAATAATTTCAATTGTTGTAGAAAAACGTTTAAAAAAATTTGAAAAATTGCGAAAGCTCAAAAATTCAATTACTTACTCAATTCAAAAATTCAATTAGAAAAAATAAAAAAAAAACAGCTCATTGAACAATCAAAAGCCGCAAAAGTTTAAAACAAATGTATTATGCATACTGAAAAGAATAACGGAAAAACAAGAAAATTAAAAAAAATGTAGAAAAAATTGTTTTTAAATTTTTTACTGTTATTAAAAAGGGTCTGGCAAATTAACCGAAATTTTTCTAAAAGATATTGTAAAACTCCAACCTTTCTTACAAAAAAACAAGAAATAATTGAAAAAAATCATTCGGAAAATAGGCCCATGGAGTTAAAGCAGACACTCAAGCGCCGAAAAGATACAGAAAAATTTCGACATAGAAAATATCATTTAAGGAAATCATAACCGTCACAAAAGGCCCATGCCTAAAATGCACCCACTATATTCACCTCTCCAGTAAAACACATGTAACATTTTCACTTACGAAATCTGTGCTTAGAGTTAATTACGGGGAAAAAAGTCTAGTACTCGATTGCAATACCCTTGCTTATCGCAAGGGTAAACAAACATAAGCCCTAAATGCCAAAAAACAATAAATTGCAAAAATATGTCTTGAAAGAAAAAAACTTTAAACCTTCAAACCTTGAATTTTCCAAATTCAACCTTCGGATTAAGGAACCACCTGCCTCAACCAATTATACTTTGTACTTTGCCTCAATTTTTTTCACGCATAATTTACTCTTATGTAACAGACAGCAAAGTGAGCTCTTTTATATAGCGTATGTACTGATAATGAGCTATAATTAATGCATAAACTTGCCATGAGTTGAAAAAAATGGACATGCTTGTCCACATACCAGACATACCATAACTTAGTGCACCATCGCCTTGTGAATGGAATAAACTTGCGAGTTGAAATTCCCATAATCCCATTTACCTAGTTCTTCTTCCGGACTACTCATGCTCCGGATTCCATTCATGCTGTGTTGTTGCTTTTGGCCTTTCGATTGTGACATGGATGATGATGATGTGAAATCTACATTGTGACATAGGCGTTTGTTGTGGCCCAACATCAGTTCAGTCAAGTGCGGCATCTCGTTCAGAATCGTCACCACCTGAACAGTCGAGTAAATTTGTGAACAATCGAGTCGACAAAAAATGGATAAATAATTTCTATTCGCTGAAAGGTTTATTCAGAGACACGAAAATTCAACTGAGGGCGTTTTAACAAAAAAAAAACAATCATTGCGGATGATCAACTACGATTTAGTTTTTCAAATTGACAAAACCTTGAAATAACAAGCATTGCTGGTTGCAGCACAACATTCTGTCCAAACTGATTTAAGAAAACAACATAAAAAATCTCTAAAACTAACGAAAAAAATTCCAGCAATTGTTTTTCAGAGAAAGGGCGACTGAATCAGATCAAATAGCGGTCGGAACAATAAGTTCTCGCCAATATCCGTTGATTTGGAACTATTCAAAATCTACTGTTTGCAAACTCGCCTAACACTAGTCTGGCTTTAACCAGTGATGTCCATTAAAAAATTGAAATATAAATTCAATTTGTTCAGGAAAATTATAAAAATTGTTGGCATCAATTTAAATTTTTCTGAAACTATCTAATTTTTTCTTTAGCAATTTAAATTTTTCTTAAGTCTGTTTTTCTCAGTTCGTCTGCCACTTTTGGGTAATTTCGCAATTTTGTAGAAAAGGAATTTTTTAGGCATATCTATTTGCAAGAAAAATCTAATCAATTTTGTCGTCAAAATTTAGATTATTTGCTTTTCCCGCAGAACTGTGCAAAGTGAAACAAATTGACATTACTAATTTGTGTATTGTGGCGTCGGATCGAATTCCGCGCGAACAATTTGATTTTTTTTTTTTCAATTTAAATTGTTCGATTTAAAATAAAATTTTTCATTTAAGTTGAGTGGGCTCATAATTTCACATTTAAATAAATGGAAATTTAAATTAAAAATTAAATTAATTTAATTTTTTTAATGAACATCACTGGCTTTAACGCTCTTGATTTACCTGATTTATAACACAAAAAAAATCAAAACTTGAGAAAATGTCGTGAAGTATTCAAAATTTTCGTGAAGTGATATTTCGTCGCAAAAGATACCACAGTTTGCTCAAGAACAATTTTACTATAATCGATAGAAAAACAACTGCTCGTATCAGGGCGAAGTCCTGAATGTTCCGACTGCCTTTTGAGGTTCATGGAGCAGTAATAACATAAAAAAAATTGAATGTAAAAAAAAAACAAATTGAATTTTTTTCTTCTAAAAATTGAAGTTTTTTGTGAAAATCATCCCCCCACACGTCATTAAATTTTTCTGAAACTATCTAAATTTTTCTTTAGCATTTAAATTTTTCTTAAGTCTGTTTTTCGCAGTACAAAAGTAAAGATTTCGCTCCTTGTAAAGCATCAATTATGGCAAACAAGCTTTCTTCAACTAATTTGGAACTTCTAAGACGGAAAAAAAATCCCGTCAAAAATTGCTAGTTAAAAAGTCGAAATTTGTCTGAAAAAAAAACCACCCGAGCACAATTATTCCGTTACTTTCGTTACGAAAGTCGGAACTATAATAGTCTGTGCTAAAATCCTTAGCATTGGCTGTACTTAATAGCTGGTTTTCGATTAAAATGAACACTTTCAAAAAGAACACATTTTATCGCAGCAATATTTGCGTCGCAACAATATTTGCTACTTAGGTTGGGAAAAAAATGGATCATACTATAACACAAGCATTGCTAGTGTAATGAAGTCTTTTTTCATTCCTTTACCATGAAAACGACCTAACATTTTGAACGCCAGGACAAAAAAAAGACACTTTTTCATTGTTTGTTCAAAATTTATTCATAATTCATATTTGTTTATAATGATTTTTGTGGTCGTTACCTTCTGCACATCCGCGCAACGTGCACATCAGCCCGCTACTAGTATTATATATAGATAACTTTGGTCAATTTTCAACTTCAGTTGATCATTTTGCTGGAATATAGAATTTGATGTTCACTACAAGAAACAAACTCATTAATTTGTTTTAGCTACCGAAGGTGAGCAGGAAATTTCATCAGACTTTTTTTACGCGCAAAGACCAGAAATAAGCGTCACAGGTGTTAACAAAAGCATAATGAATACTTTTCAGTCACGGTATAAGATGCAATAAGATATTCCATTTTTGTCGTGACTGGAAAAACGGTTTGAAAATTCGCTTGCTAGAGCAAATAGTACAAACTGAATCGCTTTTTCTGAGATAAAAAACTGCAAGAACAACCGGAATTGAACCCCAACCTGGAGATAAAGAGTCTAAAGTCCTCGCATCTGCTCAATGCGCTCCTGAGGTTGTCAAAACACTAGCCACCAATAAAGCACATATATATTTGCGATTATACTGCAAACGCTAAAGCTATGCAGCAAAAGTGCTACCAAAATCAGCACTATTTTAAGCGAGTTGGAAAGTATTATAACTGAACACTCGCAAGATCGCTTAAACACACATTCAAACGCTTTAGATTTCGAGGTTTTCTCAATGATAATTTCTTAGTATAATTATAAAGCCATTCACGTTCTTTCGCACCCTTTATCTCATCAGAAAGCTAAATACATGACTAATCACCTCCTGCCTTCGATCTCCGAGAAACAAAGAATTCTCAAAACAAAAAAAAACGATTTCCAAAAAAAAATTTGAATCGTTGCTCAATAATTGATCATGGTAGGAACTTTGTATTCGCTAATTTCTCAATTCGGTTTTCCACAAAATCAAATAACATAAATAAACATCGGAAGGGACGAAAGATACAACCTATTGAGGCAATTTCAGTCGTGAATCGATCCGTATTTGAAAGATTCCCATAAGCCCTCTGAGATTCGAAAAAAAAACATATTTGAAATTTTCCCGTTTTAAAGTAATTGAGACCCAGTAAAGCGACCGAGTAAAGTGAAGGGCACTTACTATAGCTATAAAAAGTTAGCTTCCAGCTGTGGAAAACAAGCTTTTGAAGCTTAGTCTAAGGCTTCCCCAACAAACCTTAAAAATAAATCTGAAAATATATATTTTTTTATTTTACACAGATTAAGGCAGTCGATTGAAAATCTTTTAATTTTCTATAAAACTTTAAATTTAATTGCTCCAACCACGCAAAAACATTACTCAATTGGAAAAACAAAACTACCTGTGATCTGAATTTTCAGCGCATTTTGCACAACGGGCAGTTCTTTTTAAACTTTATTATATTGAAATACCTTAGCAATATTAAATATTCTTGTCGTTTTTGAAAACAGGGAAGGAATGTGTTATTGCAGCTGAGAATTATTATGTTACCATATCATTTCCCTCTTACTAAATTCGGACAGTGAAAATGACTGTTTTACGTCATCAAGCTGATACCATTTTCGTTTGTTCTTCAAGGATAACTGTTTTTTTTTGTTCTCACCTCGTTCCAAGACTGAAGATCGTTGTGTGACAAATCCAGCTCTCTGACATTTCCACAATATTTAGACAGACTTTCACAGTCCCCCGCATACCCTATTTTCCTGCCCTCTAGCACTAGGGTCCAGGGTACTCTAACTGATCCGTCTTTTTCGAACTTAACTGGGGACAAATCAACTGGACAAAAGCGGGACGCGTTGTAATTTACATGTGAGAACTTCTCGTCAATCGCCTCGCAGATGGTCAGTTTTCTCGGACTCTGATCCGGTAACTCATTCCCCTCAAAACTACCAGCCCCATAGTCACTCAGAGACCCAAGGGGGGAGTGACGTCGCTTGGTGGGGGTGGTCACACCAGCAGTATCTGGCGAGGAGTAATCGTCACCAGTCATGAAGTACTGAAAAATAGGACCGTTAGCTTTACTGCCTTGAAACGACTTCTGTGGAAGACGCACTCTACTTTTGCTCACTGCTCTCGCTTTCTTAGCGGTGTCTTTAGCTGTTGTTCCTCTTTCGCCAAACTCAGTTAACTTGGAACTAACTGAAGACTCACTAGTCGGTTCTTCTGTTGTATTATTAGTCGAAGTTGTCATCTTAAAGTCTTGGTCAGTTGTACTACCACGCTATTCAGCGATTAGAAAATCTTGGTCCAATCAAAAATTATGTGAGGTAAAAAAAATGGTAATAACAGTTTCTCTGAGTTTCAGTTTTGAGTCTGAGTTTCGTCTTAGTAGAATCCAATCTCAAGATGAAGAAATTATAATACTATATTCGGTCTAGGTGGCAGGTGCAAATTGAAAACTAGGATAGCTGTTCTGTCTTGGTTCAGATGAAGTTACTAGTAAGTAAACATAGGAAAAAAGTAGTCCGAATTCACGATAATCGAGATAAAAAATGGCCCAAACGACTTTAATTCGTGCCTGCAATAGCAAAGGTGCTCTTCTTTAGTTTCTCTTGCTCTTTGGGCTTTTGAATGGCGTTAAATAGTAGTAACAATAACCAACTTGATATCAAAACGGATGTCGCACTTATTAAACTGAGTTCAGTTTATGTTGTTATGGCTAAGTTATGTTAGCTAAGAATAAGTTAACCAGATCCTGAAGTCAATATTCATAAGTGAGCACATGTTAGTTTAGCCTCGGCTAATTTATGCCATCAAACGAACAGGTTTCAATTCAATCAAACCCCTATTACTGAAATTTGTGCGCTACTAACCTTGCCTTTTGATTAATGTAATTGTTTTTGGTAACTCTAATAATTAGCGCAGATGCTTGAATACCAGGAAAAAACGTTTTTTTTTGCCAAAAAAACCTTCGCGAGAGTTCAATTCAGGCAACTAAAAAACAAATTAGCACTCTATTGCGATGCCAAAAATTTCCCTCCCCAAAACTTTGCATCAGGAAAGAATGGTTCCATTCCAAAATTGTCCGAGTATTGAGTATCCAGGTTTAGCCTTCCAAAAAGTTTCTCAGGAACAAAAACTTTAAAAAACACACGTGCTCACTCTGCAAACGGCTTACAATTCAGAATAAAATGATTGACTTCTTAGTTTTATCGGCTTCTGGGAAATTAAAAAAAACTCAAATACTGACACAATGCTCTCTTCAAATATCCAACATTCAATCTTTGAAGAAGAAAGTTATGTAAGATGAGTACAAATTATATTTATATTCAAAAGGATATTCTACATAGATCCATATAGAATTTAAAAAGGCTGGAGAAATTCTTTTTCTATTTGGTCATATGTTGACCGCAAAGTGAAAACTCAATGATTTCAGGTCTCGCTTCACGACTGAGCGTGACAACTCTTCAAAGGCGCCTATCTTGTGGATAGAAGTGATCAAATTGGTCCAAATAGCCGAGGAAGTTTCGCTCTTTTCGCCTTTCGGTCCACTGGCCTGGGCCTGCATGTTTAAGGCCACCAGGAAGTGTTCTATCGCTTCTTTGTGTGAGTGTAAATTCTGACAGGCTACTCCTAGGTTGAATCTGGCCCTGATGTAGCCTGGGCGAAGATTGAGGGCATTTCGGTAGGCGCTAAAACAATTACATCGTACAAACAAAAATGTGACCAGTCCTGGTTTTGTCATCATTGGCAAAAAACAGTATGGCAGAACCACTAAATTTGAAAATCTTATTTGCATAGACTTTCAACGGTAAACTTGAATCAGATGATTGTTACAACTAATTATACGAGCTCTGGAACGAGATACCGAACCTGCAATACAGCCAATTGAAAGCAAAAAGTCTTGAAACCTTCAATACTAGAGAGGCGAAGAAGCTAAGAAGAAAAACCTGACAAGCAGCTGAGCATAATTAGCAAGATAAATTTACAGAAATGGACACAAAAAAACATTAAATTTGGCTAAAAAATTTGCACTTTGTTATTTTTGCCTATATTGTGGAACGAAATAGCGGAACGAAATTGTTTAAGAACAATTTTACCAGGCAATACTTTCTTTTGCGATTAAAAGTTTTAGAAAATCCACTAACGCTCTGTTATGTACGTTGTATAAGCAAAGCAATTAAGCAAGACGATAAAACGATAGACAGCTGGAAAATAGTTGATCAATTCAAGTAAACCAAAATATCTCTTTTTTAAAGCTTTTCTGCATTAGTGTTTCAAACTAAAAAGTATAAGAATTTCAAAGATCTTTAAAGCTGGAAACTTTTTTGATACACCTAAGCTCAGTTAAGAGAAAGGATTGCAAGCGAACTTTTCCTTCCGCTTGAAAATCCATTTTTTTCATCTGCCTGGAAACAGTTGAAAAAAATGCACGTGAACACAAGCATACTGTTTCTTAAAGATCTGCTAAAACTATATATGATCTTAACGCTTTTATGCCTAACATAATTTGAGAAAACTGGAGTAAGAGGTTGTTTATTCGAACGGGAAAAAACTGAAGTAAAACAGCAAAAATTAGTTTTTTTTGAGCCATCTCTACTTTCATATTTGGACAGTGTGATTTGCCTTTACTTTAGCAAATTAATTTGAATGGAAAAAAAAAATCAAAAGCCAAACCATCTGAAGTCCAATTTTCGCGTAACTTTTATCACGACCTATATAAATGACTTCACCACGTTCATTTGCACTTAAAAACTGCAAACGAATATTGAAGTAAAATTCATTCACGTTTGTTCGTGCCACTTGCAGTTTTTTAACAAAACAATTTGCACCTGAAAGAAACCAAAATCACACCGCTCAAATAAATATACTTTAGCGTGAAAAATTTCAAACTCTAATCTCCGAAAACACCGGACATGTCGAATCAGTGTAAATACACGTAAAACATCAACTCTCCCTCGTAAAAACAGATTGTACCTGAAAGAAACCAAAAATCACATCAATAAAATTATAATTGAGATTGAACAATGTTTAACTTTTTCCAGAAAAAAACCAGGCAACTCGAATCAGTCAGAATGGTGGAACCAGATCTAAACTACATTTTATTATTGGTTATAAATTGGATATTTTATCACTATAAAATATTTAATATTAACCAATCATGATCCATCTAACTAACAACCCACTTATTTGCAAGTGCTGAAATTACTTGTAATTTCAGCACCAGAGAGATTTGAATTTAACTTAGAAATTAGTTACCTCTCCAATAGACCTTCTAGCAATCGCAAAAAGCCAGTATACTCTAGATCTATTGAGCCTAGCAGAGACTAGGTTAAACACCCTGAGACTAGTAGATATAAGAGTAAGATTAGGATCGGTATTAGACTAAGAAGTTGCACGAATCTATCCGGCCGAAAATAAGATAGCGTGACGAGCAGACGGTGTACCCTATCCGAAATTACTCTATGAGTTAAACCTCGGTCATAACTCAATACACATCATTCATTAACTCTTAAAATTAGTTTCAATTACGTTACCTGATTGCTTCTTCGCTCCGATCTCCATTTGCGAGACATGCTCCGAGTCGATTCCAAAGTAATGCATTCTTCGGATCCAGGCCAACACATTGCCTAAAAAGATTGCCTGGTTATTTCTAAATATTAAACTTGTTCGTGGAAATGATAATATAATTAAACTGTCGAATAAAATTCGAAAGCACAGGACAAACTGAGTATCACTACAACAAACTGGCTTTTGTCAACTAGCTTATTTTCTAATTTTACAACATTAATTCTTCAAACTTCAAGTCCAAATCCACTTCATCAATATCGATCAATTGAACTAGTATTTTTTTATTTTTCATTCAGGGGCGGAACTTTTTTTAGGTCGACTAAATTGATTTTCCGAGCTCTCCTAAAGCACTAAAAAGACGCTGTTTAGGCCGTTTTTGGGCACTTTTTGGAAAATTTTGACCAAAAAATCGCATCTTTTGGGCGCGCGCTCCCACCTCACAATTAGTATATATTGGCGCTTTAGCAAAATTTTAGGGTCGGTCGGCCAGAAATTCATTTCTTAAAAAACAACCAAAGGGGGGACCCTTTGGGTCGGCAGGGGGTCGAATCCCTGAGCGGGGGGGGGCGTCCGCCCCCTCCCCTTAATCCGCCCCTGTTTTCATTTATTTAGCTTGTCATATCTAGTTGATTACCTGAAAATATTGGCCGCGGTGGCGTAGTCATTGCGCACACAGTTCAAAATACCGACAGCTGTCAGCACATTCACATCTTGAGGCGACACCATCAGTGCCTGTTCAAACAACTTCAACAGATCCTCCGACTTGGACTGAAACCGGAAGAGAGAGGAGACCGACAGAGGAGACCTACTGTCCTCTTGTGGTTCCTCCAAGGTTAATGTCGGGATCCCAGAAAACGTGGAATTTTTCTGCAGCCACAGTTCCAAAGTGTCCACTGCTCTAGCCATATCTCCTGAGATAACAAATAGATCAGCAATAAAGAATGAATAATTCTCGTCAAAAACTGAATAATTTTTGGGGGTTGCTCTACCGATTGCGTGGCGTACTAACGACAGCACAACTAATTAAAACCTATTTCAGTCACATTCAGCCGGTACTGCAACATGGGGTTATAGTGTACGGCACAGCTAATAAATTATCACTACAAAAACTTGAAACGAAACAAAACCAAATTCTGATAATATTTTTAAGAAAACGGAGATATCAGTCAGTAGCATATTATAAAGAAACCTACAAGATATGCTTGCTCAGTGAAAGAATTGCACATATACGAGGTATTCAAAACTAAGGCGTATGGGCCGTTTATTTCTTCCAGCCAATTCTGACAACCTCAAAGAAAGCTGGTGACTGAGAGTCTAAAAAATTCAATAAAGTGGTCTGTCTGAAAAACCAAATAAACGGAGACCAATTTGTCTCGACACTAAATTTGATTAGACTTGACGAGTTTATTTCAATTACGATTTGTCACCTAACTCTATCGCCCTTTTGAAAAGTGTAAAAGAACAAGGATACCAAAAATGATTGAAACTTTCAAAAAAAAAATACATCACGTTGAAGTTCTTTGAACTTCAAATAATGTTGATAAATGGCACATTTAGAGAGCTAATTTTTAAATTTCGCTGGGAATTCAGAGAGTTAAAGTCCATTTTAAAAACAGGAAGTCATTCACGTTTTTGTGACTTTTTCACGTTTGCTGGTCGATATTAGAGTGTGCCTTCTTTTTCAGAAATGAAATGAAGAAAGCTTAAAAACAAATCAAATTTGAGCTTGAAAAATTTTGTTGTCTTTTTCCTGAAAAAAAAACGAATAAACAAAAAATCATCAAGAGTCTTGATTGAAGACCTATATACGTGAAAATCACTTCATTCTGTTACACTTTAAAAAAGTTACCTTCATTAGTGTAGCTGGCAGACAGTGCCATTAGCGCCTCCAGATTGTTCTCGTTCAGCTGAAGTGTCTCGTTCAGGGCTCTGATGGCCGCTTCGTCGTTCTCGTTCTCTGTTTGGGCCACTCCCAGGTAGAACCACGCTCGCTCCTTCTCTTCCGACTGTTTCACTGCTTCTTCGAACAGCAGAACTGCGTTGGGAATGTCGCCTGCTTTTAACCTGAACGGTCGACTTTAATTTGAATTCGAAGATTTTTTTTTTAATTTCAGAAGACTGCAATTTTTTTACCTGCAACAAAACTACCCAAAAAAATTTCAACAAGACTACCTACCAACTTTTTTTACCTGCAAATAGAAAAAAAATTGTTATCTGGAACAAGCCTACGAAAAATTGGTGCTGCAACAATACTTCAAACAATTTGCTCAAATTAGAGATTCGTCCAAAAACACGTAGTCAGGTGCCGCTACTAGTCAAATTTTGGCTTTAAAAACAATGCTAATCACTGTGCAAAAAAAATTAACATAGATGTTCACGGATGTTCTAAGCCACCAACCGCTCAATTCCTTTCTGCAGTGCGTCTTCCACGCCTTCAAATGGATTCTCCTCATTGAACCTGTATCTGTTCACGTGGTCCAAATAGTCCCCACCCCTTCCTCCTGCTCCGAACATGATGGCCTCGTCTTCCTCTGACATCCAGGCCGACTCCATCTGTTCACGCAGTGTGTTGTTAGTCTGCTGTTCCTCGTACTTCTTCAGAATATTCTGCCACTCTTGTTCCAGGTTGTCAAATATCTCAGCTGTAGACGCGCCATCTTCTAAAAATTATATATTTCAAAGAAGTAACTACTGCAGAAATATCGGGGCTAGCTATCAAAAATTAGCTCTTTTCCAGTTACCTTTTGATTGTTTCTACAACTCAATTCAAGATATTCAACACAGTACTTATTGCAACGGCACATATTGCAATAGAAAGAATCAGAGTGAAAAAACAAACCGATTTTAACAACATCGATTAATTTAAAATGCCACATGTATCATCTTCTGGAAAAAAAACTTCCGCTCTTTTATAAAGAAAAACACTAAATGCGAAAATGCCAGCTAGCCAAAATAAATTAAATAGCACAATTAGGTAATTACTGTTTGTTTTTCTCTGGAAAAATCCAAAATTAATTGCTAATCCAAACTTAAATGCACTCACAACCCCAATGAGAATCTTTAAATTCGTAGAACTAACCCTGCGTTTGTCCTTCCGCCTCCGACCAGGCTGATTCAAAACCATCTTGATCACTTTTCCGACCATCATTCGTACTTTCATCTTCCTGGGAAGAAGAGAACTGATCAGCCCACTTTTCCGCATTGCCTCGCTCATTCTGATTGGTAGACCTGATAACTTGAGGTAAGCGATGAAGAAGAGGAGCAGATCTAAAGTCCCGTCCGAAATAGATGACAGGTGGATGTGGCCTCGAAAGGGATCCAGTAAAAGATACAAACTCATTTGACCATTGAGAGGCAGGGATAACAAAAGCACCTGCAATGACAACGGAATAAGCACACTTAACAGCGAAGAAATATTTGATGGATAGAAAAAGAAGATTAATTTATCCAAGAGTATAAATTACATAACAAACAAAATACTGATAATACGAAACCCTTGGAAAGGGTAGATAACGAGATCAGCTGATCTGCTCTATGTCTACTCATGAAAAAGGGATATCAAAAAACCCCACGCACGTTAGCTCCTTTCTGTCCCCCGCTCCACATGACATAATTTTGAGTCATAGTAAATTTTTGTCGGCTTGACTGACTCAAATAATATTTAGAGTGAGGAGTAATTACCAAATACAAACATATTTAAGAAACTTTGTATAACTATCAGTTATATCATCAAAAAATGACGAACATGAGATGCCGGGATGGGACATCTTGGATAGACTCCTTGAAAACAACTTCAGTAGAGCTCCAAACAATAATTTGAACAAATCTTTACCAAACCCTTTTGAAGAACACTTCAAATAAACGATTTACTTCTAATTATTCTCGTAGTAAACACTTAATTAACTAAGGATGCAATTAGGTATTTTTGAACTACATTGACAACTGCTGGTCTTAAAAAACATTAAACTACATAAAATTTCCTTCAAGGCGCTCCAATAAATGTCTAATTGGACTTACGAGGACAATCGTAAGATGCTTACCACTTGACGACAATCTACTGCTAGCATTTTGATTAGATTGTGTAGCCAAAAACTCATCTACAAAATCGTCGATTCCGATTTGTCCAGTATTTTCTGTCACTGATTGGTTCTGTGGCTGCAGACTTGATGAGTTAAGTACCAAAACTGGTTGGGATGACAAATTAGCTTCTAAATTTGAGGACGAAGATGAGGAAATTGCAACTTTCCTTCGCACAACAGACCTGTAAAATATTTAATTAGTTTTGTCAGTATTTGTTGTTCCGACTTTCGATACGAAAGTAACGGAATATTTGTGCTCGGGTGGGTTTTTTTTCTTCAGACAAATTTCGACTTTTTAACTAGCCATTTTTGACGGAATTTTTTAATATCATTCGAAAGGTATTGTTGTCCTGAGCTCAAATTTGAAAAGATATTTCACCTGTGATCATTTTTCGTAAAGTTACGGGGGTTTAAAGATAGCCATTTTGGCCAATTTAAGACAATTAACGCGCGATATATTTCGCGCTATTAACGCGTAAGCGGAGAGTTAATCCGTCTTAGAAATCGTTCCAAATTGGTTAAAAAAGCTTATTTGCCATAAATGGTGTGTTACAAGGAGCAAAATTTATCCTTTTGTACTTTATATGGCGTGGGGGGTGATGATTTTCATTAAAAAAATTTCAAATTTTCGAAGAAAAAAATTTTTCATTTTGTTTTATTTCATTGAACTTTTTAATGTTATTACTGCTCCATAAACCTTAAAAGGCAGTCGGAACATTCAGGGCTTCGCCCTGATACGAGCAGTCTTGTTTGATTTTGTTGATACCATGTTGCGTACTTGTTTGGAGAAATAAATTCATTCTTGCTTTCTGGTACAGAAATATAAAAAACCTTTATTAGATCTAAAACATACAAAAGCAAAAATAACATTGTTTTAGAAGTTTAATATTGCTTAATACTATTTTTTCTCAAGATTTCAGAACTCATTCGTTGACCTGATTCAAAAACCGGTTCTTAATATTGAAAATGATTCCGTGAAATCTTCGAATAAAAACGGTGACATTTCATCTAACCTGCTACCATGGGGTCCATCTGCCGTCGACGTCTGGGCTAACTTGATTAGACTGTTGTTGCCCAAACAGTCTGCATCGAACAGGGATTTCTCTACTGAAGATGACATGTCTCTACTTGTCAATCAAAAACGAAGAAGGACAAAAAGCACGACTAAGTGTGCTTCAAATTTAAATCAGCGATAAACAACTTCCGCCATTCAAGACATCTGAAATATGAATATTCGAAGAGTAAATTCATTGAACCACAAACGCTTATACAAGTTCTCTTGTAATGACAATATATAACATAAGCCATAGTGAGTTAGGAGATCCTCACTTCATAGCACTTTGTGCACCAATACTGCATTTGCAAGCATCGACAGGCAGACTTTCTCTTTCACCAGCTTTTCGCTTTGTCTTAATTTTAAGACAATATAATCTTTTTTAAAAATTCATATATTTATTATGATCGCCTTTTTTCGGATAAGTTTTTATTTTTTGATAATTTTATAAACAGATTCGATTAATAACAAGCAGCGCAGAAAGCATTATCATGACCAAGATCTTGTACTTTGAAAGGATTAAACCCTAGGTTAGACCTTAAACTTGGTTTTTGGCCGGCGAGTGCTTATTCTGGCTTGTTTTGAATGCCGTCGACAACGACATTTTAGCCGTTAAATCGATGCGTAGCCGCATTCCCGGATAACCGAAAAAAATATTAAGATAATTAGCAAATCAAGAAATAAGGCTAAAAAAGCAAACTCGACACAAAAATTGAACACTTCTTATTCGAAAGATTAAAATATGTTATATTTTCTAAACAAAGCTAACAAAAATTCAATTAACTACAAATATTATCTGAAAGCTTGCTTTTATGAAATTACATAACAAAGTGCGCCTACTTGGAAACGCAAAGTTTCTTTAGGCTATATGGGATCATTTTTTTTCCAGCTATTCGGTAACAATTTTTTTTCAGTCAACAGGGAACAAATTTTTTCCCATATCCGATAACAAAATTTTTCGGCTATACGGGAAGAAATTTCCTTTCGGTTAACCAGTAAAAAGCAACAGTATTAAATAAGTGTATTGCCAAAAAAGTCTCAAAACTGCAACGTAACTGCCTGTCGCAAGAAATTTTGTCAAAATTTAGATCTTCATAGCGTTTTGGTATATCACTAACTTAGTCGATCTAATAAAAAAGCGCCATAAAAATTGCGATTGCTTTAACGCAATATCCACCCTACGCCAGAAACCCCAATTTTAACGCATTAACCCAAAAAAAGATGACGGTCTAGGAGTTTGTATGTAATAATTTGAAAAATAAAAAATTAAACGCAAGCACACAAACTTTGCACGCAATTGACTGGAAACTGTGGAATAAAACTTTGTATGAATTATGCATATCAAAAAAAAATCGCGAAATATACGGAGTTGGAAAATTTCTGAAAAGTAATTTTTTATTATAGTTCTGTCGTATGTAACAAATAGCTTTTTTTGCTTCAATTGATGACTCACAAAAGCATCAGCTGTGTTAAATCACTAAAAATCAAATTTCAAAGCTCATATACAGCCAATATGTAACAGTGCCAATCCTCCTGATTCAGCAACCAACAATGAACACTTTTGAGCCAATACAGGCGGGACTTTCAATTGCGACTTAGGTTAGAAACCACGGGTCCCACGGTATTTTCAATTTAAAAATCCCAGACATTTCCCGGTTTTCCCTGACATTCGCTGAACAAATTCCCTGACTTTTGCACAACGATGTGCCTCTATATTCAAGAAATATTTCCATGAAAAAAAATCAGTTCGTTCACAGATTTAACATTTTCTGCTCAATTTCCAAATCCAACATTTCTTTGTACTGTTTCACTTATTGGTCGATTGTTTGGCGTTTCTTTTGCAAAGCCGAAAGTTCGCTCATAATCTTCCGCTTCTCAGAACAAACTGCTTCCTTCTGTGTATGATTCTTTTGGTCAGTTTTAAAGGCTTTTTCATAGCGTTGCCGACAACCTTTTTTTGCATCCATCATACGTTTGTCCACCAAATCACGGGACAACTGCTTCCCAGAATGAGGGATCCAATCGTGTACAGTTCTCTGGGCTATGACTGTGTGCTCCATCATGTGCGCTCAATGCAAAGTTGCGCTCTGTGCGCCTTCATGTGCTCTTAATCTCTTCGTTTTGTGACAGCTTCATTGCGGTAAATGAAAAAATGATTGCCCCAGAAAAAAAAACAACCAAAAAATTGAACGATCAAGAAATTGACTGTGCGCTCTTACGACTGTTCGGCAGGCTGATGAGGATTCTCAGTCGAAGGTTCGCCTTCCGGTACAGCCGGGGTGAAAAATGGTCCCTCTGTACGTCGTAGCCTCAGTGCGTATTGGTGCTTTTTAGCCTTTGCGTGACTTTTCAAAGCTCGTTTGCCCATATTGCTCAACTGAAATGGTTTTCCGCGACATTTGCCGAGAACGGGTCATTTGGAACGCGCTTGATTCAATCTGCAAAATCTGGGAAGTTGCTAGGATTTTCCCATTCGAGACAGTAATGCGTTTTCCTGCTTGACATTAATCTCAATCTGAAAATAGGTACCAACATGATTATATGCTACTAAAGGTCATTAGCAGGCCTTGACTCGAATTCCCTGATTTCCCTGACAGTTTTTTTAATTCCCTGACATTTCCCGGTTTTCCCTGACGCGTGGGACCTCTGAGAAACAAATTTGCATCGTACCATTACAATGAGCTAAGCCAGTAATTGAAAATTGATGCAAGAATTTAACGTTTTTGAACGATTAATAATCAGCTTTGAGCAAATCAAATTTTTTTGACTATCAGGAAGCAAAAACGATTTCGGCTATCCGGGAACAAAAAAACTTTTCGGCTCTCCGAGAACAAAATTACGAATTTGTTTTTCGTCTAGCCTGCTCCGCGAAAGGCCACCGTTAAAACGAGTTTCATTAAATGTCTGTAGATTTCAAATTTATGCAATGCAAGTTTATTAATGTTCACAGACAAGTTGTGAAATCCAGAGCCCAACATTTGCCAAAATTTTGATTAGGCATCATTTGATAAAAAAAGCTTGGTAACACTATTTATATAACATAGGCGCTACGCGCAATACACCGAAGGCATAGAAACTGAAGCAAAAACCAAACAACTTGAACAACTAATAATTGAAGAATAACAGTTCTAGAACAAAAAATCGTACTAATACATGTATACACCAAAATTTTGCTATATCGAGAAAGAGCCTGAAATAACAGTTCTAGAACTAAAAATCGTACTAACACATGTATAGGTTAAATTTTTGATATATCAACGAAGATCATAAAATAACACTTCTAGAACTAAAAATCGCACTAACACATGTATACACCAAAATTTTACTATATTGACAAAGAGCCTGAAATAACAGTTCGTGAGCTAAAAATCGTACGAACACATGTATACACCAAAATTTTGCTATATTGGCAAAGATCATGAAATAACAGTTCGAGAGCTAAAAATCGTACTAACACATGTATACGTCAAATTTTTGCTATATTGACAAAGATCATGGAATAACAGTTCTAGAGCTAAAAATCGTACTAACACATGTATACACCAAAATTTTGCTATATTGACAAAGATCATGGAATAACAGTTCGAGAACTAAAAATGGTACTAACACATGTATACAATAAAATTTTGATATATTGACAAAGATCATGAAATAACAGTTCGAGAACTAAAAATCGTAATAACACATGTATACACTAAAATTTTGATATATTGACATAGATCATAAAATAACAGTTCGAGAACTAAAAATGGTCTTAACACATGTATACGCTAAAATATTGCTATATTGACGAAGAGCCTGAAATAACAATTCTAGAGCTAAAATCGTACTAACACATGTATACACCAATATTTTGCTATATCGACAAAGAGCCTGAATAAACGTTGTAGAACTAAAAATCTTACTAACACATATATAAACCAAAATTTTGCTATATTGACAAAGAGCCTGAAATATTGACAAAGGACCTGAAATAACAATCGTAGAACTAAATGTCGTACTTAATATATAAATAAACAAAAGCAAAAGTGAAATGTACAAATAATTAAATAGACATGAAAAAATATATATGAACAAATAACCAAACAAACAGACCCATAATATGAATAAATGAAAATAAATAAATGAAATAAATACACATACATAAATAATAAAAGCAAAACTAAATGAAAGAAAGAATAATTAAATAAATATAGAAATAAATATCAACAAATAAACAAAACACACCTGATAAATAAATAAGCAATAAAAAAATAAATCAATACATAAATAAATAAATAAATACATAAATAAATACATAAATAAATAAATAAATAAATATATAAAAGCAAAAGTGAAATGTACAAATAATTAAATAGACATGAAAAAATATATATGAACAAATAACCAAACAAACAGACCCATAATATAAATAAATGAAAATAAATAAATTAAATAAATACACACGCAGAAATAATAAAAGCAAAACTAAATGAAAGAAAGAATAACTAAATAAATAAACAAAACACGTGATAAAAATAAACAAAAATAAATATGTACATACATAAATTATAAATAAATATAAGCAAACTAAACATAATTAAATAAATAGAATAACAGATAATTAAATAAATAAAGATGAACAAATAAAGAAACAAACATACGCAATCACGTGACATAGCGCGATATAGTCCAGCCCACATGATAATTGATAACTGTGGACGTTATTTGTCGACACTTGACAACAGACAACATTAAAAAAAAAACCCCGTTACACGATACCATAACACCTTGACTAAAGTCTTCGGTGTAACAAGAGTTATTAACATGAGGTTGTCCTCGTAATGTGATCTTGAAGCAGCTCAATGGCAATTCATTAATCAAAATTGACACCTTTTGGAAAATGTTTGCGAGTTCTTAAGATTGCAAGGGATTTAACAGAGCTTAAATAGTGTCTTTTCAAACAATTATATCACTGCCATGTTTGGTGATAATGGTCACCAAAACCATTGCTGTTCAACTTGCCTTAAAAGTATCGAGAATGCATCTCAAAAATCGGGTGTGTCATTTCGTCTCATCGCACACAGCCTGTATCTTGTTAGAACCTGACAAGATTCATGAAAAACAGGAAGAATTCAATTGATATGCTTAGTTGCAATGGAATTTACATTGATGGAAAATTAAACTC